CCCACAGAAAGACAGGCACCCCCAGCTTCCTGAAGCAGAAGGGGAGCCGGGGCTGCGGCAGGCGCTGAGGTTGCCCACAGAGAGGGCAGAGGTTGGTCTGCAGAGGCCGGGCAGGGAGGCCTGTGGCTGCCCCGCCCTGGCTGAGTTCCGCACACAGGAGGCTGTGTGAGCTGCCTCTGGCCTGGAGCAGCTGTTATCCTAGGAAGTAGCTGAGGGAGTTTCCTGCTCTGTGGAAGAGTCTAAGGTATCACCAAAGTCGACCAGTGTCTGTCTCCCAAGGCTGGCTCCTGCTCCTCCTCCTCAGCTCCGTAAGACTGAAGGTGTTTAAATCAAGTTCACCGTCTTCTTGGCCAGCCCCATCCACTGTCTGAGTTCTGTTTGTTCCCCCACAATGTTGTGGAATCCCAGCCCACCCCCTAACTCTCCACTGTTTATCTAATGCTCCTGCTCCTCCCCCATCCTGTAGGGCTCATGCCTCATCTTGCTCCACGTTCAGCCTCTTTTCCCCATCTGCAGCCAGAGTCTAGTTCTTTCAACACATTTTAGATGTCTCAGTGTTATCATGTCTTCTTCCACTCACAAAATGTCCACAATACCTTCCTGCCTTCTAGACGGAAGCTTCCATTCCACACGACCCTCCCGGTAGCTGGGCTACCTCTCAGGCCCAGCCCATCTGTTTTGGTCGTTGTTCTATTCACTGGGGGCGTGCTTAACGTTTCCTCATGGCAGGAAGCAGACAGGCATGTCCTGAGAGCTTTACATCCTGATCCACAGACAGCTAGCAGAGACTGGGCCTGGTGCAGGTTTTTGAAACCTCAAAGTCCACCTCTAGTGACACACCTTTTCCAACAAGGCCACGCCTCCTCATCCTTCCCCAAATAGGTCCACTCCTTGGTGACTAAGCTTTCAAATATATGAGCCTATGGGACCATTCTCATTCAAAGCACAACATCCTGTGCAGCCTGGCCCCTCCTCTCAGGCCAAGCACAGCCCTGCAGCTGTCCTCTCTGTCTGCTCCCCCAATTCCAACCGCTTGCATGGGCTTGCTGCCTCTCAAGTACCCCCCCCCCCCATCTCCTCTGTCTCCCCAAGAGAAGGACTGTGGGGCTTCCCCGTTGCTGGCAGCAGCTCCCAGAGTGTAGAATGTGCAGTCTGCACTGGCCCAGGCACGCGTGTAGGAACACTCAAGATGACCTGCTGAGACAGGACTCTAGGCAGCTGCTTCTGAGCCCCCGGGTGTGAGGACCCACAAGGTGGCTTGCATAAATAAACAAGTCTCTCCATAGTCCTATGGCCCACAGAGGAACCATCACACTCCAGGAAGACAGAAGGACCCAGCCCGTTTGAAGCTGAGGTTTGTTTTTTGTGTGTGGGGTGGGTGGCAGTCGCGACCCAGCCATTGATATCCCTCACACATTTAAAAGCTGAGCCCGCAGGAAGGCTCAGCTGTTGAGAGCAGTTGCTGCTCTGGAATCCTAGTACGCAGTGGCTGCTCAGGGCAGCCTGGAACTCCAGTTCTAGGGGACACTCTTACGGCCACGGCGGGAACCAAGCACCCTATATATGATATCCTAAAAATAAGTAAGAAAATAAAAATTTTAAAGTTCTCTGGGATAAGAGGCCCGATGGTCGGAGAACGGGTCCTAGTGGATGCAGTTTGTGTTCCAATGATCCCACAGTCTGAACACTCATCCTGGACACAGCAGAGTCCGTGTGAGCACCCGGGGCTTCTGCGCTCTTTGTTCCAGCTGTCTTTCTTTCTTTGGTTGCTGGGAATAGAAACATGGGCCTTAGTCAGCAGTGGTGGTGCCCGTCTTTGATTCTGGCACTCAGGAGACAGAGGCAGGCAGATCTCTGTGAGTTTGAGGCCAGCCTGGTCTACAGATCAGAGAAACTCTGACTCAAAAAACAAACAAATGAAAGAAAGAAATTAAGAAAGAAGGAGAGAGAGAGAGAGAGAGAGAGAGAGAGAGAGAGAGGGGGAGAGGAAGAAGGAAGATGGGCTGAGCATCTGAGCATGTACTCAAGGGCCCTCCCTCAGGGCCGTTACATTTGTTTTATTTGTTGTATGTGGGGGTCTCAGTATTCTCAGCTGGCGTTGAATTTACCATCCTCCTAGATGATGGACATGCTGTCACATTGGCTTTCTCAGATTTAAAAAGAAAAAGGTGTGTGTTGAAAAGTTAAATCCCCCGGTAGTAACACCACCACTGATGTAATAAGTCAAATCAGGCTGAATTAGTAAATCCAGGTTTAATTTAAGCAGAGCAAAGCAACTCGTGGGTGACCCTTGGGAAGGCAGGGGAGGAATCACATGGCAAATATGGCTACCAAGTCTTTCTTATACAGACTGTGGACGCGGTCTTGAGCAGTCCCAGGAGGGGGCTGACTTTTGGTGGACTTTCTCAGGGTTTGGAATGGGAGGAGTGGGACCAGAGCGTGGTGTGTGGCCCCTAGCTGGAGATCCCAACATCCCAACCTTTCTGGGTATGTATGGATGGTGGTAGGGCTTCCACCTAAACGTGTGTGTGTGTGTGTGTGTGTGTGTGTGTGTGTGTGCGCGCGCGCACACGCGTGGTGTGTGGCCCCTAGCTGGAGACCCCAACATCCCAACCTTTCTGAGTATGTATGGATGGTGGTAGGGCTTCCACCTAAACGTGTGTGTGTGTGTGTGTGTGTGCGCGCGCGCGTGCACGTGCACGTGTGGTGTGGTTTCTGCATAGGTCATGTGTGGACAGCAGAGGTTGGTGTGAGGATGTTTCCTTCCTTAACACTTTTTTTTTTTGGAATTATTTGTGGAGATTGGTTGTGGCACAGCTATTAATCCCAGCACTTAGGAGGCAGGGACAGGAGGATCTCTGTGAGTTTGAGGCCAACCTGGTCTACAAAGAGCAAGTTCCAGAACAACAGGATTGCATAATGGAACCCTGTATCTGTCTGTCTGTCATCTATATTATTTAAAACATTTTTTATATGTGTGTATGTGCACGTGAGTACAAGCGCCTGCAGGGCCAGAGGAGTCGGATCCCTATGGATACCTCTGGAGTTGGATTACAGGCAGCTGTGAGCCACCTGACTTAGGTTCTGGGAAATGAACTTGGGTTCTCTACAAGAGTTCCTACTCTTTAACCACTGAGCCATCTCTCCAGTTCCTCCATTTTACTATCATTCTTTGCAGATTTGTTTTATATTACAGGTTCTGTGTTTTCCCCGTGTGTATGTTTGTGCACCTGCTGCCCTTGACTGCTGGAAGATGATGTATTCCCTGGAACTGGAGTTATGTGAGCCACCACGTGGGTGCTGGGGACTGACCCTAGACCATCTACAGGAGCAACAAATGTTCTTAACCACTGAGCCATCACTCCAGCCCCAATCTACCTTTTTCCCTTCCTCCCTCCCTTTCTACCTCCGTCCCTTCCTTCCTCCCTCCCTCCCTCCCTCTCTTTGAAATACAGTCTATTATTGAACCTGACACCTACTGTTTTTCCTAGGCTGCTTGGCCGTTTGGCATCAGAGATGTCTGTCTCCCAGAGCTGGGTCATAGGCACCTGCTGTAGAGCATTTTACCCAGTCATCTGCTGATCATTGTCCAGATTCCAGTTTAAAATATTCTGTGTGTTTTACCAGCTGGTGAGTATGTGTCTGGTGCTGACACCATTAAAAGGGGGTGCAGATTCCCTGAGCACCCTCCAGCCCCGCCACTACATCCCAGCTTTAATGTAATTCTTTCCAGTGAGAGGTGGAGACCTCAGAGGTAAAAAATGAAAATGGCCCCTGCTCTTGTCTTACTTGACCTTCACAGGTAGGTCAAGCCTCAGTTTCCCCTCTGCATCGTGTGCTATTGAAGCCAACTTTCCCACTTACAGGATTTCCTGGGCAACATGTAGGGCAAACCTTGCTGGGGGTGGGGGGCAGATTTGTAAACTGTAGACAGTCCCTCCCTCCTTTATCCCCTCCCTTTATTCCCTTCCTCTCTCCCTCTCCTTCCCTCCCTCTCTTCCTTCCCTCCATCTTTTACTCCCTCCCTTTCTCCTCCCCTCCCTCCCTTTATTCCCTTGTTCCCTCCCTCTCTCCCCTTTCTTCCCTCCCTCTCCTCTTCCTTCCCTCCCTCTTTTACTCCCTCCCCTTCTCCGTCCCTCCCTCCTTTCCTTCTTCACTTCCTTCTTCCCTCTTCCCTCACTCTTTCTCCTTCCTTCTCTCCTTCCCTCTCTCCCTCTTTCCTCCTCCCTCCTTCACTTCCTCTCTTCTTGAGACTCTTTTTTTTCTTTTCTGTACAGCTCTTCTTTTAGTCCCTGTCCCCAACTATCTTCTGCAGCCCATGCCAGGCCTGTCCAGGCAGTCCACAGAATCCCTTGTGGCACCAAGAAAAAGGTCACAGTCCACAGTGGATCAAGAGGCCCTTAGCACAGGCAACGAGGTCCTTGCTTCCTGGAGTGTCCCCGAGGGCTGGGCTTGCCCAAGGAGGGACGAAGGTCCCACAGCAGGTGGGGCCCTGAAGCCTGGGACAGAGAGCAGATCAGAAGGGCCAGGGAGCTCCCAGGTTCTGAGGTGGGTGCTGGGGCAGGGGCAGCTATGGGCCTGTGGCTCTTCTTAGGACAGAGGCAGGGGATGGCTGTTTTGCACACAGCCTATGGCAGGTCTGAGTCAAAACACCTAAGGCCGACCCCAGCTGGTCATGAGGAAAGCTGCCCAGTCATTGCCTTATGCTGGCTTGGGTCACCCAGACAGGCGAGGCGCGGCCCAGTCAGCTGTGACTCAGGCCACAGTGGCCTTGCCACGCAGCCCAGGGGCATCGAGTACAGGGACGCCCCCTCCCCACACCCGGCCCCGCTGCTTCTCCTCCTAGCAACCCAGTAACACCTTCCCCACCCGTGCCAGCCTCTCTGTGCTGTGGGCTTTCTACCTCTGGGGTCCTCAGATTGGGGGTGGGGTGGAAGTAGGGGGAGCCTCAGGCCATCAGCTCTGGACGGAAGTCAGGTGGGGGGCAGGGTGAGGAGCCAACGCCTGAGAAGCCTCTGCAGGAGAGGGAAGGAGCAGAGGGGCTCAACCACGATGGTGTTGCCCTGAAGACCAGACGAGCTGTGCACACCGTGACGGGCTGCGACAGAGACCACGGTAGGCTTCCCTTGAGCGGGCATGATTGTGGGGCGCTGCTGCTCCCCACACTTATCCCCAGGAGGGTAGATGGCCCATCAATTGCTCCCCTGTGCGTCAGGGGCAGTTGCTGGCCCACACAGCTCTCCAGGACTCCGGCTCCCAGTCTGTAATGGATGCATTGTAAGGCAGGTTCATAGGGTTCTCTTGGAGGATGTCCAGGCAGAGCTGGAGATGGGCTGAGACAGTGCCCTGTGGGTTAAAGTTCATGGGATAGAGGGCAGGGGGAAGAGCACATGTATTCCAGTCTCGCCTTGTATGATGGTGGCAGGGTAAGTTGATTCCGAAGGTAGTCTTGATTTCTGGGTTTCCAAGGGACATTCAGGTTCCATTCTTTCTTTAAGAACAGTGGGGTTCTGAGCCTGCAGAGACCTCCTTTACCCTGTCCCTCCCGAGTGGGCTGCAGTGGGTGGCAGGGTGTTCTGGGGAACTTGATTAGCCAAGGTCACCACTCCTCTGCCTTTGACCTTGGGCCGGATCAGAGCTTGGCAGGTCTGTGAACCTGGACATCCTGGCCCCAGAACAGTGACGGGTGTGGGAAGAACAGAAACCGGGGCGGTGTAGAGACCCGAACTGAGGACTGGTTGCCCACAGTTAAGAGAGGCACTCATCTATAACTTGCGGTCAGTGCTTCTCCAAACCTGGTAGAGCTGCCATACAGGAGATGGTCCCCAGGATCCTGTCCATGCCGCACCATGTGGGACAAAACAGGGTAGTGGGGAGCCTATGACCACAGATGGCACAGTCAGGTGTCTCTGGGGTGAATTTTGTTTGTTTCTCTTGCTGTGTGGATTAGGGCAGCTCATTTTCCTCTTCTGGGTCAACCCGGCTCCCCTGTAAGACGAAGAGCCTGATCCCCACCTGGAAGACCTGTCAGGCCAAGGTGGGAACAGGTGGAAGGACCCAAAGGGGCGCTGCCCCCTCCTCCAAAGCCAAGGCTACACCCCCTTGGTCATGGCATGTGGTTTCAGCACCCCCTTGTGGCCACTCTTCTGGGCTTCACCCTGCAAATGTCAGGCAGGGTGAAGCCTCTCTGGGAGCCTTCAGAGGACCCTGTGTTGGCTGATGGCCTCTGCCCACCCTCGCCCTGAGCCCCAGGCACCCACTCACTTCCTCAAATCCACCAATCCAGCTCCACCTACCTGCTTGCAGCAGCTGAGTTGGCATGACCGCTGTACCTGCCACTCCTGGGCAGCGGGAGGCGCTGTTGTCCAGGACTTGCAGCTACTAAAAGTTTTCATGGCAAGGAGCCCTGAGCTCAGTTTTCCAGGATACTGAAGGGGAGGAGGGGGAGGGGGAAACCATCCACATCTCCAAGGTCAATGACTGGTTCTAGTCAGGGAAATGGAGTCTCAAGAAGCAACTCCTCTGTGGAGTCCTCAGAGGCAAACCAGCTTTGAAGCCCTGGGGTCCCATCACCTTGGAAGCCCAGGACAGGTACCAGGCCATATACTACTAAGGATGGCCCCTGATTTGCTATGTGGCTTTTGGAAAGTGTCATCCCCTCTCTGGGCCTCATCTTTGAAGTTGTACCAAATAAAGATGTCAATAAGAAAACCAGATCTGTGGCTTTGCCAACACATGATTGGCAATACTGTTACCAAGTTTACACACGTTGAAGCAGGTTTGCGTGATGACATATGCCTCGGGTGGCCCAGCTTGCACGTGACAGAGTTAGGACTGGATCTGAGGTCTGACAGATTCCAGGGCCCCTGGCCCCTCTCCTCCAGCCCACAAGGTCACACCCAGCTTGGAAAGATAGGCAAGGATTCTGTGTAGTGGAGGTGGGGTGCTAAGACCAGCGCTAGAGACGACCTCTTCCCTTTAAGAGGGTCCTCAGCTAACAATCTGGAGGTCAAAGTCGGCACTGGGGAAATGTCACAGCGGAGGGGTTCACAGAGGGCCAGGCACAGGTCCCACCTGGAAAGGGAGGGAACGGAAGCAGGGTCCAGGGGTGCGGTGGGGTGAGGCTAGCTGGGCAGGAGATCAGAGCGGATTGTGTCATGGGGCCATGTGGCTGATAAGCGCTGGCCACCTGGCAGAAAGAAGGAGGTGCTCCCCTGGGGTGCCTGGCTCAGAACCCCTCACAGATCTTGCTGCCACAGCCACCCTTCGACTTCCTGGGCCCATTTTGGAGAGGATGGGGTGGGGTGGGGTGGGGATGCAGCCTTTGCACACTTTGTGGCCCTGAACATTTCATTCAACTCCCTGAGCCTCAGTTTCCAACTATGGCAAAGGAGAAGTGCCCCAGATGAGGGTGGGGCTGGAGATCTTAGGGTGTCTTCTAGGCACTCTGCCATGATTTTCTGGAGTGGAAGGGGGGGGGGGGCCCTGGAGCTGGTGAACATGTCAGCCTTGTGCCCTGAGAGGGTCCTTGAGATCTGCCGAGTCCCAGGGGTTTAGGGCTGGTGTGAGACTGCAGTCAAATCCGCGCTCCCTGATAGGGCAGCCGGTCCTGGTTGTGTCCTGCTGTCCTGGTGGCTCCACCTGCCCTGTCCCACAGAGTTCAGTTATTCCTTTCTTTCCCAGAAAGCAGACAGTTCACCCAGACAAGTCTTCCTCTTAACCTTCCTGGGAATGGGATCCTTCATTCTTCTCATTATTTCGTTGCTAAGATCTTAAAAAAAAATTTTTTTTTTCAAGTCTCCCGGGCACTGAGAGTTGAGACAGGGCTCAGGCCACCTACCCAGCATCACCTCTTGGTCCAGTTAGGTGGCCCTAGTGAACTCGCCTGGAATAGTGGACAGAGATGAGGCCAGGCCCTACGTCTGCGGCCAGCTCCCAGCTTCCTGTGTGTCTGTCCGCTGTTGTTTCCTGTTCTGTTTATTGCCTCCAAGTTCAGGAAACCAATGAGTGGCACCCCCCACACACCCGTGATTATTTAATAGCAGCCGTGCTACGGTCTCTCTTTTGGAAAACCCAGTGGGAAAAGGAAGCTGTCAAGTCGGCTCTGACATCAGCATTGTCCCTGTGCCAAAAGTCAGGGTGGCCAGGGTGGGAGGGGTAGGGCGGGGTGAGGAAACCAGCTGCCGGTGGCCCCCGTGACACAAGGCTGCTCCATGGTTCTCAGGGGCAGGGGCTAGACAGGGAAAGGCAGGGATTGACAGAGACACAGGGGCACATGCATACATGAACATGGGGTCATGCCTGTCTACCAGCCAGACTCACTATCCTTTACAGACACACGCGCGCGCGCACACACACACACACACACACACACACACACACACCAAAGGACTTGCAAATTCCAGCTCTGTCTTAGCCCCCCAAACACAGGCAAACAGCATAATCGAATGCACACGCTTGCATGATAGGGCCAGACACAATAAACACAGAGTCATGCTGACCCCATTCTGGCTGCACACACCCACAGTTCACTGAGACTCCACCAAGCGTCTGCCTCACAGGGAGCCTGCAGGGCGCCCTCTTCTGGATTTGGCTGGGCCTCTGGGCCTAGCCCCAGCCACTTCCTCCTCCCATAGTGCCTAGGAAGGGCTCCTGATGCCCCTGAGGAAGGGCTCCTGATGCCCCTGAGGAAGGGCTCCTGATGCCCCTGAGGAAGGGCTCCTGATGCCCCTGAGGAAGGGCTTGGTAGTTGTGGCGGTCTCCAGCCTCACCCAGGTAAGGCCAGAGCAGGGCAAGGATCCCTGAGGGTCTGAGGCTGAGGAAGGAAGTGGTTTTGGAGAAGCCGGGCTCCACAAGGGACTTCGTCACTGCTCAACCTGATGCCAGGTCTCCACCCCCACACCGTGTCCCTGGTCTGCCCATACCTGGGCCCAAGATGCACCTCTGTCCTGTTCCTGAGCTGGCTTCAGTGGCAGCCATGGTAAAAGTCAGACACTATGTGCTGCCAACTGCTGGGTGACTTTGGGCAAGTCACGCAGATTTTCTGGGCCAGGCTTGCCTTACTGATTCCCATAGTAAGAAACATGTGGGCACATAAAGACAACCGGAAAGAATACTTCAGGGAGCATGCTTGCCCTCGCTCTGGAAATGTCCAGGAATTTCATTATTCTATTTCTCTTTGAAAGCGTACTGGCTCCTGGTAACTTGAGCCTGTAACCCATGGAGCGGTAGAGGCCAGTATCTCTGCCTGGGACAGTCCTGGATATTCAGGGAAAAGAGAGCCATAGCCTAAGTGTTTACACAACATGGCCACAAAATACTGGGCCAGGGTGATCATAGCCTAGTTCACAGATAGAGGCTGGAAGGTAGTGTCAGGGTGGGACCAGCCACCCACCATGCCACAACCTGGCCTCTGGCCCTGCTGATGCTCAGCTCTGTGGGCTGCCACTTCCTTTGCAATTTCTATCAGAAGTGAAGGAGGGAAAAAAATGCAGCCACTCTGATTCACCTCCAGGAGCTCCGATTCTTGACGCAGAACCAGTCAGGAAATGTCGGGGTGATGCTGGGGCTGCTGGCCGTTGGCCAGGCTGCTTCTGGCTCTCCTTTGGCCCTGAGCGGATGTTACTGGTGTCGGCCAGAGATGTGATGGAGTGAGGGTGAGAAGAGTCAGGTTCCATGGTAGCACTAGACTTCGCCAGGACCGTGAGACAGGAGGGCTTGCTGGTACTCTCCAAGGATGCCGGCTCCCAGGGGTCATGCCCACCACCAAGGACTGAGAGCCCCCCCCCCCCCCAGCCACCTCAGCTCTAACCATGAGGACTATGCTGGGTCCAGACTCCTAACTCCCCCAGAACCGGAGTTGACAGAGCATCTATTCTGAACCATCCTTGTTTTACAAATGGGAAACTGAGGCTTAGAAACACCATGGCCCAGGGCCACACAGCTGGAGTGTGGTTTGTGTTGGATTCAGACCTCACTGTTTTCCTGGATAAATAGCCCACACCACCCTCCACCTGGCAACACAGCCCACTTGTTTTAAAGGTAGTTAACTTATCAATTGGAGTGAGGGCTGCAGGTCTAATGGCACCTTCATTTCTCAAGGTGGAAAATGGAGGTGCCTCTGCCTCTTTGGACGTGGCATTCCCTGTCAAGTCCATGCCAGGCACATTCCTGAGTCTCCTATTTCCTTTAACCACCTGTCGTGAGCTCTGGCCTTATGAAGCACCCTCCAGCCCTCAGCTTCCTCCTCAAACTAGCTCCCCTTCCAGGTGAGGACACCAAAGCCCAGCTAAGGCTTTGTTTTTTGAAAACCTGAGCTCCTCCAGGGCAGGGAAAGGGTGCAGAGAGAACGGGGCTGGCCTGACTGTGGGGGCAGCTAGGCATCTGGGTCACCAGTCTTGGGGAATTCCCAGTGCCCAGAGAGCTGCTTACTTACCTGCTGAGTAACCACTGCCCACACAGGATGCCTGGCTGACAGGCCACCTCCCCAAAACTCTGTAAGCAGTCACAGCCATGTAGCCCTGTAGCCCTTTCTCCTGAGTCTGAGTGCCCCAGGGCCCAGGAAAGAGACAGCACAGCAGGCAGGCAGGCAGGCAAGGGGGCTAGCCCCCACCCCCGCGTCCTTCCCCCAGGGGCTCTGCAGGGGGGCAGCTGGTGATTCAAATTCCTCTGAGCTGAGCTTCTCAGACGGGGTCTGGGGGGTGAATCAGCTCCCGCACACGGGTGCTGTAAAGTCCAGCCAGCAACTGTCTTCGGCTCAAGCCTCTACTGGGGTAGCTGGTGTGTGTGTGTGTGTGTGTGTGTGTGTGTGTGTGTGTGTGTGTGTGTGTGATATGTATGTGGAGGTAAGACAGGTGTGTGTAGGTCTGTGTAACAGGTTGTGTATGTGGAGGGGTGTGTAACAGGCTGTGTGGGGGGTGTTGTATGGCACAGGAAGGCACACTACCATACCAGTTCCCTCTATCCTGTCTGCTCATCCTGAGGTATCGCTGAAGGGGAGCTGTGGGTGAGGAATATCCCCTTTCCTGTCTGTTGTTGCCCTTGTCTCCGGAGCATGGCAGTTTCTTCATCTTTAAGTAGGACGAAGACCTCTGTTTCTCAGAGGAGTCTTTAGGGTCTATGTTGACACGCGGGAGGTTTGCCGGGTGTCAGGAATCCTGCTGAACCCCAGACCCTCGCAACGAACCCATTATGTGCGTGTGTGTGTGCCATCATTCTCACTTAGAGATGAAACTGAGGGTGAGCAGTGACCACGTCCCCAAAGCCACACACCCTGTACGGCCCTGAGCCGAATCTCCAGGCTGCTTCTGAAAGAGGTCAAAGTCCACGCCTGCTTCAGCCCACTGGAGCTCCTGCCTTTGCCCAGACTGCTTTCAAGGTGTAGAAGTCACATTAACATAAGAACAAAAATAAATAGCGTCTGCTCGGCTGTTCTGCTGCAGGACCCCCTCAGAGCCCTCAGAACAGGGCAGTGTGTTCAAGAATGAGCCCGAGAGGACCAAGACCAGATGAACAGGTCAGGGCTGCAGGGGGCTGGGGGCGGGGCTTCCTGTTTAAGTCCTTATTCCCTCACAGAGGGATCTCTGTGGCCTTGTGAGACGGAGGCTTGGGCTCTGATGGTCTTTGTGTACCCTTATGCATGTGCCTTTACTTGCCCTTAGCGTCCACAAGCGCAAAACAAACAGGCCACTGTGATGTTCTAGGAGAGAGCTGGGATTGCCGAGTGACAGGCAGTGGGAGAAGCAAGGCCGACCGGCTGTGTGTTCCAAAGTGAACGGGAGCGCGGAGGGGTTAGGCCCCCCAGCCAGTCTACAGGTTCACTTCCTGGAGAGACACAGCCACCTGGAGACAGCACCTAGGGCCCAGCACGGCAGCCCCCTATCCCTGCTGAGGGAGTCCCTGTGTGGAAACTGCCTGTCCCCCTCATCCTGAAGCCTGTCAAACCCCCAGCAGGCCCAGTGTGCAGAAGCTGGGCAGGCTGCAGATGAAATCACAGCTGGAAGGGGCTGGGCTGGGGCTGCCACTCCAGGGTGGGGCCCAGGGTCATAACCCTGGGAACCAGCAGCCAAGAAGGGAGGATGCCTTCCTCGAGGCAGCAGAGGGGAAGCACACAGCAGCACAGAGAGAGAGGGAGGGACGAAAGCAAACTCCTGCTGAAGCCAGCCACGTTGCAGGCAGCTTGAAGACAGAGGCCCAGTTCTGCGCGGAGACCTTTCCTGGCATCTCCCCAGAGGCCCATCGCAGGTGGTACTCAGACATGGACTGGAGCAGGAGGCAGGGCCTGGGGCACCGAGGGGACCAGAGCGCTGGGGGAGAGCGGACTGAGTCAGGTACTGTGAGAGGGGAAATTGAGGCACAAAAGAGTCAGCTAGGAGCCTGAAATAAAAAGGCCCTAATGTCAGTGTCTTCTAGAATCTATTCCCATTTCCTGCTTCCTGGAGGGTGGAGCTGAGATTAAATGGCTATCGAGGGGGGGGGGGGCTGTAGTATCAATGTGTGGTTTAGGGATCCAGAGGTCAGTGCAAGGCCTGGAGCCCGCCGGAAGGATGTAGAGGAGAGTAAGGAATAGGAACGGAACAGACCGGACTGTGGCCGCCAGGAGCACTGGAGCACTTGAGGGCTTAGCCATGGGAGAGACGAGATGGACAGAAAGGACCACGATGGGTTCCTGGGCTGATAGATTTGGGACCCATGTGAAGGAGGCTAAGCTGAGTCAGAGACCAGATGTCTGGAAGACAATGGTGGAGCTGGAGCTGATCTGGAGTTCAAGTTCTGGTGCTGGTGGTGCGGGCTGGGATGTCTCCACTAACTTATATGTTCAGGAATGGTAAGCCTCAGGTAGGGCCGCCAGGAAAAGACAAGGTGTGTTGGAGTACAGGGAGAAAGAAAGGGTGCTTGGCCTCTGGATCCGGCCCCCCTCCATCACTGGGAAGTACCAAAGGGGAGGGGCGGTTTTATCGCCCCAAGGCTCTGCCAAAAGACCACAAGGAACAAGAATCAGGATGGGGGAGGGTGTATGTGTGGCGGGGCCGGGCGGGGTGGGGTGGGGACAGCAGCTGGCACAAGGGTTCATCCTGGTAGACGTGGGAACATCTGAGCAGATCCTGGATGAGCCTAGAGGCAAGAGCTGGGGGCATGGAGGTGACCAAAGGTGTTTCAGCGCCCGGGCAAAGCTTTGGAAAACCAGTTGTCCCGACATCAGACAGAAGGGTTGGGATATGGTTCTCAGGGCAATGACATCCCTAGGTCTGGAAGGACCCAGTGGCTCTGGGGACAGGATGGCCCTAGGTAGGTGTGCCTTGTCAGTTCTCTCTCACTGCCTTATGTTTAGTCAGGAGACTCTGATCTCATTTACTCCGTCCTCTTCCTCCCTGTCCCTGAGACAGCCAGTAATCCACCAGCAGGGACCCACGCCAGGTGTGCAGACCCTGCCTTAGACTGCAGAAGCACCTGTTGGGAGTCATCGTCACACTCTGAGACCAAAGCACCAAGGGGCTTCCAAGGAGTGATTGGGGGTCATCAGCCATTCCTCTGTGCCCTAAAGGAAGCTAGGGTCCCATTTTTCCCAGCCTCCCTGGATCTCCGCTTTAGGGGTCCCTCCAGAATAGAGGCTGAGGTACCTTCCTGAAGTGCCTCCCCAGACGGTTCCCAAAGAGACACAATTTCACATCTTCCCAGAGCTCTCAAGTGCCAATCAGTAGAGGGGGCATGCTGACGGATGGATGTAAGGGGGCCAGAACCTTTGGCACAATGGTACCATACCCCGGTAGTCTCTCTTTGCCCACTGGCAATGGGCAGGCTAGAGACAGGCCACCCCTAAAGTAGCTTCCAGCGTTCATGTTCTGCTTCACTTTATGACTGTCTAAAGTCCAAAAGGGCCACAGCCCCCCTTCCTGGAAAACTGTGTCTCAGTGGAACACCAGCCCCAATTCTCCTGCTGTCCGGCAAAGCCCCCCTCCCCAGGGTTATAAAGGCAGCCTCCAGTCTGTTGCCACCCTCCAAATCCAGGTGAACCTGGGGCGTCTGAAGGGCACAAGGCTGGGGACCCCATCTGAGTTCCCCTGAGATCTCCTTCCCACCAGACCCATTTACAAACAACGCCCAGAGCAAGCCACTCAGGAAAACCACAGGGCGTTTTTTTGTTAAGACTTCATTATAATTTTATCAATCAAATTCTTAGAAGAAGGAAAAAGTCTGCCCTCCCCACCCTCCCCCTCACTCGTCCCCCTCCCCCCTTCACTCTCACTTTCTTCCATTCATAATTTCCTATGATGCACCTCAAACAACTTCCTGGACTGGGGATCCCGGCTAAATATAGCTGTTTCTGTCTTACAACACAGGCTCCAGTATATAAATCAGGCAAATTCCCCATTTGAGCATGAACTTCTGAAAACGGCCTGCATCTAAGGTCTCCTCCAAGGCCCTCTGGAGTCCAGCCCATAATGAAGGTCTTGGCCGCAGGTAAATCCACGCGCCCGGCGCCGGTTGCGAGTCTCGACTGCGGGCGCACCGGCAGCCTGGGGCACTGGGCGAGCACTCGCGGGACGCTGGCCCGCCGCGCCACTCGGACACTTGGGGCGCCCGCGCAGTTCCGAGCCAGCCGGAGGCGCTGGGTGGCGGCCGGGAGCGAGCGCCGCACATGGTCCGGGCACCGAGCGCTCAGCCAGCCGGGGCCAGCAGGTTGGCAGTGAGGGACCAGGCCGGCGCAGCCTTGCTCCATCGCCTCCACTGCTGGCCCCACTGCTCTCCCGCGCTGCTTTTGCTTCTCCGCTGTCGCCCGGATTCACCCTCCCTCTTTCTTTTTCTTTCTTTCTTTCCGCTTTCTCTTTTCCAACTGCGTCCCGGGCTGCTCCCTGGGAGGGGCGCAGGCGGCTGAGCAGCTTGCAAACTCCGGCCAGGACCGGCGCAGGTGCCGCTTCCGTCTGCTAGTCCCTGGAAAGCTGTGATTGGCGCGAGGTGAGATGCGGGTATGGGTACCCCCGCAGGCATCCCAGGGCCTTAACACTGTCTGGGGATGCTGGGATCAGCAGGGGACACCAGGGGAGTGAACTTAAGGTTCTACGGTCTTTTTAGTCCCAGCATGGAGAGTTCAGGTGGGAGATCTCCAACCTCCAAGAGTTGATTTCAGCCTCTATCACCTTTTGGTGTCTTTAGCCTGGTGTTAGAAAGGCTGGACTGGGGTGAGGGGGCCGTGTAGCTGAAAGTGAAGGAGGGGCAGGCGTCCCGGGGGAGGGGTGATTCTGGACAGGCCCGGACAGCTCCCTGTTCTCCTGACACCTTTTGCTTTCCTCTTGCGTGTCCGCCTGCGACCTTTTCCCTGGTCTCTTTCCTGGTTACACGGTTTCCTCTCACTCCAAAGTCTGTGGAGTTGGGAGCTCGGGGTGGTGGGGGAACTCTAGCAAGTTGGGGTGTAGATGATTTGGATGGAGAGTGGGGACCTGCAGAGCAAACAGGTGGAAGGCTCTGCGTAGAACCTCATTGAGGAAGGATAGAGATGGATTAGAGGCAATTGGCCAGGGGAACCAGAATCTAGCTGCAGGTTTGAGAAGAGAGGGCCAATAGCAACCATGACCCTCAGCCTCCGTGGTCCGCAAGGGGTCCAGTTTGGCGTTCTAGGCCAATGAACATCGAGTAAGCTAGGAATCCGGCCCACCCTGACACGGGGAAGGTGGGATTCTTTTCTCTTCTCCTCTGCTGGACCTAATGCCATCCAGTTAGGGGACCAGGCTTTGAGACTTGGCCCTCCTGAGGGACAGGGCTAGACAGTTGAGTGGCCTCCTGGACCCTGGAGCTAGAAAAAAAAAAGGCTCCTGTCTTGATATTTTGCTTCTCCACTCAAAACAATGGCACGGGTGGGGAAACTGAGGCCAGGGAGCAGGGAAAGAGAAAGCAGAGAGAACTGGGTCAAGAGACCTGGAGCCAGGGAGTCAGAAACTGCAGCTGAGCAGTGACGCTATGGAGGGGGAGGGGGGCTTTCTACGCAGCCCCCATGCAAGGAGCCACGAGCCTCCAACTGGTCTTCCAGCTCCTCCATCCAATCCTTGTCTCTTCCCAGGAGTTGTGCCCTTACTGCTGGTTCTGCACTGGAAACACGGGGCAGGGAGTCCCTTACCCATCACCCCTGTAAATGCTACCTGTACCACACGCCACCCATGCCACGGCAACCTCATGAACCAGATCAAGAACCAACTGGCACAGCTCAATGGCAGTGCCAATGCCCTCTTCATTTCCTACGTAAGTTACCTACCTAGGGTCCCAAGGAAGGTGGGGAGCTGCCTGGGCTGGAGGGGAGCCCTTAGGAGTTGGGAGACACAGTGACAAGGGACTTGGTTCAAGCAAGCCCATCCCATCTATGGCTTCCTCCTCACACCCTAGCCCAGGCTGGAGACAGGCAGTCACTCTCCCAAGGTCACCAGTGAGTGGAGGGAGGAGGGCAGAGCTGGGCTGAAAGGTGGGGGCTTGTTACCCGGCTCAGGGTGGGCAAAGAAGAGGGATGAAGCAGTGGGTGAACAGAGGGTGTCAGTGAAAACATTGGGGTGCCCAGGAAGAGACGGGAGGTGATCAAAAGTGCAAGTGTGTGTGGTGTTCTGGCTGAGGTGACGCCTGTGAAATGCCACATTTCCTCTCTATCCATTTATGTCATAGTGACCTTGGTGAGTGAGTTCACACTTTGATTACTGCTGACTCATGATTCTAGTTGCCTCCGAGGCAATAAGTTGAGTCGCTTCCCCCCCCCCCCCCCCCCCCCGTGTCCCAGGTGAGAAAGGAAACCCAGGGTTGGTGGCAAGCTGGAACACTCATCCTGACCCCCATGTGATCCCCTCTGTTCCTTTGCTCTTTAGTACACAGCCCAAGGGGAACCGTTTCCCAACAACCTGGACAAGCTGTGTGGGCCCAACATGACAGATTTCCCGTCTTTCCATGCCAATGGGACTGAGAAGACCAAGTTGGTGGAGCTGTATCGGATGGTCGCGTATCTGAGTGTCTTCCTGAGCAACGTCACCCGGGATCAGAGGGTCCTGAACCCCAATGCCCAGAGCCTCCACAGCAAGCTCAATGCTACTATAGACATCATGCGTGGGCTCCTCAGCAATGTGCTTTGCCGGCTGTGCAACAAGTACCACGTGGGCCATGTGGATGTGACCTATGCCCCCGACACCGCCAGCAAAGATGCCTTCCAAAAGAAAAAGTTGGGCTGCCAGCTCCTGGGGACATACAAGCAAGTCATTAGCACGGTGGCCCAGGCCTTCTAGACAGGAGGCCTTACATATGGACTGAGAGATTTCAGGAGCAGGATCCAGATGTGGGGGGTGGGGACTCAAAGTGTGCTGGGGTTCAGGGCATTGTTAAATGCAAAGGGGGCTGCTGGCAGACCCCAGGGATTTCCAGCCACTCACTGCACTCTGGGCTGGGCTGTGATGGAGTCCATTGAAGCTGAAACTTCCATAGGCAGGGCCTCCAGATAGCCCAGCCCCAGCAGGAAGTGGCATGGAAGAGGCTAAGTGTGGTGAGATTTCTGTCCCACTAACTTCCCTCGGCCTGTTGTTCACTAGGTGTGTGAACAAGATGCACGTGTTGTCTATAGCGGACAGCAAAGGTCTGAGGAGTCTCCTGGTCCCCTGCAGAGTGGCCACCATCTGGACTTTTGCTGTCCCTTTGAGAGACTTTGGAAGGCTTGGTGGTAATGTGGGCAGGCCAGAGGATCCGAAAGGACTCCTTGTCTTTTTGAAGTTTTGTGGGTGGAAGGCAGAGAGGGTACCCTGTGATGGGATGTATCTTCTCTTGAGTTTGATTGGAGAGTTCAGGCTTAGGGACTGTCATGTCAGGTGGAAGATTCTGGAAGGTCACTGGCGGTCTGGCTCTTAGGGATGACGAGAGGCCATCTGCAGGTCTGGAAGTCCCTGAACGAGGCCGAGGCCATCAGAGCGCCATGGACTCATTTTCCCTGCACTTTCCCCCACAACCTGGCACCGTTGGGGTCTCCCAGCTGGACCTAGAGGTGGGGTGTGCACAGGTGGGAAGAAGCAGGTTACAAAGGCAGGGGAGGTGTTCAGCAGGTTCCCAGAGTCCTCCCAGGGACGCAGCTGTAACCCTAGGAGCCAAGGAGGGAGCAAGGCAGGCAAGGTGGGGTGCTAGAAATGCGGGTTTCATCTGTTTCTGTTGATGCCAGAGAACAGGTGATCCTAAACAGACAGAGAGGTAGCCTAGAGTAGAAGGTCACGCCTGAGGCCCTGGAGGTCACACAAAGGTACTTGAGGGGACCGGAGGCTGTCTTGGGTTCCTGGAGCTTGGAGAAGCAGAACTTGAGGTCAGGGTCTCAGGGAAGCTGGAGACCCCAGGGCGCTGTGTGTGACCCAGTGCTGCTTTCTATTTATTACTGTATCCTATTTATGTTAACTTATTGGTGCTTGAAATGGCAAAGTTAATTCCCCGAAACAGTTTGAGGCCCCTTACATGGGTCAGGCCTCACCTTGTGGGGTTTGGTCTGGGAGCTGATGATATTACAGGGAGAATAAGCCTCATGGGTGAAGCGTAGAGAAGGGTCGAGATCAGAGAGCTGCCTAGCTCCGCTGCCTCCCACTGTGACTCACTTTGAGGGTGTCAGGGACCTCCAGAAGGAGCTGGGCCAGTTTGTGGAGTGGTTGATTTTTTTTTTCCTCTTTCTGGTCTCCAGGGGGGCGGAGCAGTTTGTGGTTGTTGTTGTTTTGTTCCACGGTGCTCTCTGGCGCCCCCTGGATTCCTGCTATGCGGCGCACCATTCATCACGAAATGAATGGCTCTGGAACCTTGGGCAAAGCAGATTCCTTGTTCCTCAAAGAGCAGCTGAAGAACACTGAGACATCCTGACTGGGCACCCAGCATGCTTCCACCCAGCATGGAAGCTCCTCGGGTGGCCTGAACACCCACAGAATGCAGGAAGTTGGGGCAGCGCAGGCCCTGAACTGGGCCTGAACGGCTGCCCAGTGCTCCGGAGAAGGGGAGAGCAAAGCCTGGGACACAGACCAGGAAGCTGCGGTCCTTGCTTCATCGCTGCCTTCCCACTCCCGCCCATGTCTGGGCTCCCAGGCAGGGAATCCGATCTGATCTCTCCTTTGTGCTGGGGCCAGGCAAGCAGAGGAACGCCCTCGATCTGGGAGCAGGGTAGGGAGGAAGGCAGCCAAGCTAGGGCAGTGGCTGAGTACAGCACTAGCTGCCTCTCAACCTCAGAGCAGGGCGGCCCTTAGCGGTTCAGCTGCAGGATTCTGCTCCATGCATATTTGCACCTTCCTTTGTCATCCTTTAAGCACTTTACCTGGACAGCAGGAGGATGGCTCCTGAAGCTCTGGGTAGACAGGCCAACCACGGACTCGCGTGCGGCAGATGCGGCAGCGACACCGTGGGCCCCGCTCTTGCCGCTGCATCAGGCCCAGCTCAGGACTGGCTGCGCTTCTCCAGGCTGAGGGGCAGCATGTCTCTACAGCGGGGGCCTGCTGGGCTTTGCCATCACTTCGCATCCCCGTGGGCATGGACTCCCTGGGCTCAGCCCACCTGGCAGCTCTGAAGCTCAGGGACCAATGGACTCTGTGTGCACAGCCCCTGGCTCCATAATACAGCCACCACCTGCCTACATCTGACTCCAGCAGTTCAGAGCCATTTTGCACAACGTCCCAGAATCATGGAGCCTTTGGGCGAAAGAAACCCTTTAGGGGCAGGCAGCTGTGCACCTTGATCTCTTACACCTGCTAGCTGTTGACTCCCATCTGCCATGGTGGGTGGGTAGTGTGCTGGGCCGGAGGAGGAGGGATGGGGCATTTCGCAATTTGTCAAGAGAGAAGCATAGGGTCCCTTATTTATTATTGAAGACTTCAAACCCCGAAGCACTGATAGTTCACTGGTCTCTCCTCCCTGTCCTTGGTCTTTGCTCAAGTGACCCAGCTCTGCTTTGCTGGCTCTCTGGAGCAGACATGGCACGTGGGCCGGAACCCCAGAGTCTTGCACGGGAGTGACTTAAGACGTGCAATGGTATGGCTGTCTGCATTCGAATGACCCCCAGCCCCAGCCCAAGCTCTCCTCTGCACTGCTGGTTCAGCCCATGGGGCCTCAGCTGTTTCCCCTTTCCTTTTCATTGGAAGGGATTTGGCCTTGGGTGACAAATTCCTCTTTGATGAATGTACCCTGTGGGAGTGTTTCATACTGACAGATTATTTTTTATTTATTCAATGTATTTAAAATATTTATTTTTTATACTGAAGGAGTACCTTTTTTTTAAAAGAAAAAATGAATTAATAAAGAACCCACTCTTGTCAAGCCTTCTGGAGTGTATTGATATGGGGGGGGGACAGCTTGTTGGGACTTGGCTGGACAAAGGGCAGAGGGTGGAAAGATGAGGCTCCTCCTTTGGCACAGATGCCAGCATCAGCGGGGGTAGAGGGGTGGGATTTTAGCCCAGGAATAACATGGCGAGTGGTGTTCAGAATACGAACTGCTACCCAGAAAGGGGACAGGTTGCTTCCGTGAGTGCTACTGTGTCATTCACCCACCCACGAAACACTCACACCAGCCCAATCGATCTGTTTCCACTTAGCTGAGGCGGCAACTGAAGCCCAGAGAGATGGAACGCCATGTCCAGAATAATTTGAAATGTTGAGGTCACCCCTCCCAATGAGAGGTGCAGCTAGTCCCCAGACCAATGGGCTTGGGCCTGTTCGACTTCAAGCCTCGTGTTCTTCCCTTCACATGGAGTTTCAGGGACTTAGAGATGCCAGCTGTCTGGGACTTTGTCATCCAGGAAGGGTCCATAGTGACATAACGGGTATGGGCTCCAAAGGCCTACATGAAGGAGACAGGTCCTACAGAATCACACGAGACACTAGGCTCTAGCTGGGCTGACTAACCCACGACAGTTTTTCTGCTAGGCTTTTGGGGTACAAGTGGCTCCTCAGGAGCACTGCTGTCAACCCACTCCCTCCCACTGAAAGACGCCTCTCTACAGCGACCTTTCTCCTATTCCTTGGAAAACAATGGGGTTCAAACTGGATAGCCACAGACAGATGTGTCTCTGGGGCTTTGGTCTGGGATTTGAGTCTGGGGGTTCCCTGGGAGAGTCATCCTGGAGACAGGGCAGGGTTCCCATATCTATGGATTGATGCATAGATGTGTCTGTTTGCTGTTGCCCGGATGCTCAGGCTGGACAAGGTAAGGGCTAACCGGTTCTTCTGGGGAGATGGCAATGAGAGAAAAGCTTCTTAGGAGTCAGGGTTAGGGGCAGGAGGTTATGGAATTCCAGAGTCATCAAGAACCTTCAGCCAGCATCCATTTCCTCCTCCGTGCCAGGATAGGATTCACTGCCTCCCACCTCTGCAGAGCTGCTTAGCGTGGACCTCACTGGGAGCGGATTACAGACATGGACTCTGAGCATCTCCCTCCAGCAAGGACAAACTGCAGCATCAGAAACCAGCCGTACCCCTGGGCACCTGTGGGAGAAAGGAAGGCCACACTAACCCACTCCTCCTGAAGTCTCTCTGCCAGCTGGAGCACAGTAGCCCAGGCCTGGCAATCATCCCCTCGCGGGAAGCTGTGATGGTCCTCCCCTCCTTCAGGCAGATGTGCACTGCCCCACCCAAGCAGGCCCTTAGCCGTCCTCAATCCTTATCTGGGTTGGGGGAAAAGCAGGTTGAAGTTCCTTTAAAAGCACAGGCAGGAGCTGCAGGGATGTGGAGCTAAGGTGACCTCTGGGTCTGGTTTTCTCCCCTAGGTCTTTGGTTCCTGGGCTGAAATGACCACCTGCTTGCCCTTTGGAAGAGGGCCCTGATAGAACGATGGTCTGTGAGTTGGCTATTGGGTCACTCTCGAGAGGACAGTGGCAAGCACCTGTGTGCTGTGTGAGAAGGAGGTGGTGCTGCAGGGTCCCTGTGCTGGGGAAGGTTGACTGGGGGTCCTTACCTCTCAGTATCTCTGCATCTGTGAACTTGCAAGAGCAAGCAGTAATGGGAACTGCTCCCTACCTAAGGGTGGTACCTGAGGGAGCGGAGGGGCGAGGAGACAGAGATAGCTTATGAATTGTATCTCTCTCCAAGTCTAACCTGTCCTGTCATGGATGGCAGGGACACACAGCTGGGTGAATGTCACACCCCAGCTGTCTGACTGCTTTGCCATAAGAGTCTCACAGTTCCCCAATGGGCTTAGAAGGGACAGTTCTGCTAGCTCTGAGTCCAAAGCCAGGGCCAGGCTGCTGGGGACGAATTAGAGAGAGTGGATGAGTCTTCCAACAATTGCTCCCCTGATGGCAACTGAGACCCAGGTCCACAGGACCAGGTTACAAAGGCCTCATGCCCTCTGGTACATGGTGGAGCTCTGAGACCAGGGACTGTGCCTATGGGATTGTCCCCGCCCCAGGAATTCAAGAGGACAAGGCCCCTATCTTAAAGTATGACTGCCTACAGATATCCCAGCGGCTCCACAGGTTCATGGGCTCCTAGTTTACAAAGAGCTTTGGTCTTTTGGTCTTCTGTTCCCTTCTGCTTCTGACTCTCATCTGCACCTGGCCAGAGGAACGTGGTCAGAACTGATAAGGGTCTCTTTGTAACAGGGTCTTTACCTAAGGGGCTCAAGTGTTAACTAGAAGAAAGAGAATCTCTTGAGTTAAAAGCCCAGTTCTGAAGATAATGCAACAGGAGAAATCATTTATTGCACCAAACCACCCTGTTTTCAACAATAAATGTGAAGGGCATAATGGAGCCACTGGCATGTTTATCTCCTGATTATAGTCTTCATTGTTCTCAATAGCAGCTACCAGCGGCTCACAATAGAAAGTACATTAAAAAAAACCCTACTGATAACATAGAGAATCAATAACAGAAGATTCAAACTAAAAGAGAGGACTAAGACCAGGGTGGAGGCATGGCGGGAGGAGGGGGGTTCCAGAGTGCAAAGGGCCACGCGGTGCCTACGGCTGGACTTCAAAGTTCCCTGGCAGCAAAAGGAAAAAGGGAAATGTGATCTTGTCACATGAGTCTTACAGTTAGGAAGGTAAGCAGAACCTGGGACTAGTCCCTAGAAATCCCTGGAAGGTGGAAGTGAGCCCTACTTGAAGCAACACCTGTATCCCTGGGAGGGCCGTTTCTACCTCAGTCTGTGCAAATGCTGAGGCCCAGTGCAGCCCAACGGGGACTCTACAAGGGGACAGGACGACGGGCATGCAGCAGGACTTTGTCCCTCCTCGAAGGGGAGACTTTTGAATCTTGGTACTAAAAATGTCTCAGAAGCTTCCATCTGCCTTCGGGCTTTCAAAGCCTACTAGGGGACAGAGGATCCAGGCAGAGTCTCATTATGTGCCCCTGTCTAGCCTCAAACTGAAGACCCTCCTGCCTCAGCCTCCTGAGATCACAGGTAGGCACCATCGTGTCCCACTTCCTCTCTTCCTCTCATTGGTTTTTCAAGACAGGATGTCTCTGTGTAACAGACCTGGTTGTCCTGGGACTCAGGAGGTAGAGTCAGGTGGATTTCTGAGTTCAAGGCCAACCTGGTATGCAGAACGCTGGGATTAAAGTCATATGCCACCACCACCCAGCATGCCCTGCTTTCAAAATGCTTTTTGTTTATTTCTGTGTGAGAGTTGTGTGGTGTGCATGTGCTTGTGTGTGTGTGTCCCAAGCCACAGTGTCACAACGAAGGTTTTCCTTCTTTGCTCTTCTTCATCTCAGTTTTGGAGACAGGGTCTCTCGCTGAAACCGAAGCTCACGGGCTGAACTGGCTGGCCAGCAAGGCCTGGAATCCTCCTGCCTCTGCGCCCCCAGCACTAGCATTGCTGCATCCTGGTTTTCCATGAGTTTTGGGGATTCCAACCCTGGTCCTCATGCTTGTACCTTTAAAACCCCCCATTTACTGATCTATAACCAACTCCTAGAACAGGTAGCAGGGTCTTCTCCAGGAAGATTCTGTGAAGGGCAGAGCCCAATAGCAAGGGTGTCCTGAGGGAGCCAAGGAGGTGGCAGGAAAGAAGACCAGGAAGGGATTTAGAACTTGTGGCCTTGAGTGTCTGCCCTCACACCTTATTCCAAGGCTACTTGGGTCTGATGGAAAGTCTTTGGTCACTGGCTTTCCTGGCAGCTTCCGGGGCTTCCTCCTGCAATCACAGAGGCCCAGCTTGAATCTTTCCCTTTGACTTGGGGAAGTCTGGCCTCACCCCAAGCGCCAAATATTTCAATTATGAGGACGTGGTCCAGCCCTGCCCACTCCATCCAGCCTCGCGGACCGGGGGCGGGTGTATGTGAAGAAGAGGGGGAGAGCCGCAGACGGACCACAGATGGGGACCAAGCTGGGATGGGCAAGCAGAGCAGACAGGCTCTCTCCACTGTACTGACACTGAGTGAAACCGCGGGCTGAGAGGAAAATATGCGCGAGGCATTTTTGTCATTTTTAGCAGCCTGGCCAGCTCCTGCCCAGACGGTCAATGAATCAAAGCCCAGAAGGGCTTTACCTGTCAGCGGCTCTCCACCCCTGCTCCGGCCCTCCTGAGGCTCCAGGCCTCTGGGCTAGCAGGCTAGCTGGAACCCTTCCAGGTCCCCAGAAAGGATGACCTACGATCTCTACAGGGAAAAACGTGTCACGGGCAAGCCCCAGGTGTGGACCCTAAGTCCTCATCCTGGTCCCTTTCAGGAGTATCAGTGAATTCTACCCTATCCTGCCCAAAGTTAGGACTGGCGCTAATGCCCCAGGGCCGGTGACCCCCACCTTTGGGAAACAAATCTGTGCAAATTCTCAGCACCAGTCTGAACTCTAAGAACCACTGTCTTCATAGAAGACACACAAAGGCGAGGCAGAGATGGCCGTGGGAGGCAGACTGGGCAACATGTGGCAAGCCAAGGGCTATATTGGCTACTGGAAGTTGGAAGGAGCCAGCAGGGGCCTTCCCTGGAGGCTTTCTGGTAGTGTGCTCCTGCAAGTCTTCCTTTTAGGTTTATGGTTCCTGAAGCCACCTTGCTTGTGACAGTTTGTAAGGACATCACTGAGACATTGCTGAGCTTTGAATAAGTTTTCTTTGAAGGCTCCATTACTCGAAAGTGGTGGCGCCTTAACGGTCAACGGGGAGGTGGTAGCGCATGCCTTTAATCCCAGCACTCCAGAGGCAAAGGCAGGCAAAGGCAGGCAGACCTCTGAGTTCTAGGCCAGCCTGGTCTACATAGCAAGTTCCAGAACAACCAGAGATACACAGAGAAACCCTTTCTTGAAAAACCCAAACAAAACACAAACGAAAACAAAAAACCTGTGGGGTCTAGGGAGCTGG